ATACTTTTATCTTTTTAAATATGTTTTACTATTACATGCCCGGGTATAAGTATGATACCCTCACACTTATATACCCGGGTATAAATCAAGATTTGGCATCCAAAATCGCCGCAGGGTACAGCACACGGGGGTACACATGTCGCAGAAATACGATAGTTTATTAAGATTGGTGTTTAGATTAGGGTTAGAGGCTATCTTGTTATATCGATATATAATATATGGTAAAATTGTAAAGCATATACAGTATCTTATCATGTGACAGTATGATTTTTCGGATATTGGATAGTTTATTTTTATTTGTCAGTGCTAACGCTAATATTTTTTAATTTATTGTACGTACGTACGTAGAAAGTGTTGGATCAACAGTTCAAATTGCTATAGCTATAAATTCTACAACGATTCTAATAACTTGTTTTGGATTAATTGTTATTTGCTGTACGGTATGTGATGCATGTCAATGATTATATTCCAAAAGGTTATAAAGTTTATTAATTACTAAATAAACAGGAATCGGCACAGCTCATGGAAGTCTATTCTGGATTTTACATTTTCATCGTAATTGTTCATATAATATATGCCATCTATTTTTTCATTGCTGCTTCTTCAAATAACATTCTGGATTATTTTATGAAAGTTGCAACTTATCAATTAATTGGAGCTTGTATTGGGGTATGTTTATATTTAGTTGAATATTTAAAATTTACTTTAAAAATTATAATAAATTATACATTTATTCGAATTCCATAGGTTTATTTTGCCAAGCTTATTGCAGGCTATGCTAAAAGTCTTAAAGTTAACCAAGATAGTGTTCAAACACCTAGAAAAGTTGAAGCTCCTAATACGACGAATAATCAAGTTGTTAATTAGCTATAAGATGCTTACACAAGTGACCTTATTATCTGATGTTACTTAAATCCTGTATAAAAATCTTTGGTTCCCATGTATAGTAGCGTGTACAGAATGATATGTTTACCGAAATCTTCACAGTTTCACATAATAATATAAATTTAGCAACTCATAAGTCATGAATTTTAGACGACGGGTTAGATTATAATTAATTTTACAACATAAGTTATAATTTATTGGCTTTTTTATCTAATAGTCATTAATCATTATAAATCATAATACATAATAATACCTTGTGTGAATCAAGATTTTAGAAACATTTTATTGTGAAATATATATAATCAAAATAACCAATTTTTATTTAATTAAAGAAGATTGAGCCTTTATCTTGTTATAACACATGTTTCTATCGTGACATTTACTATATTCCTATTACCAGGTTTAATGATATTGGCTATTATTTTTAATTTACACAATGTTCTATAAGTATTTTTTCAATTTCCAGGAAATTATAGGCATCTCCTGCGGAAGATATATCACCCAAAATTCCTTAAAGTCTGTTTGTTAGATAGCATTATTATGGTTAAATACTGTACAAGTAGAATATATAGTAAATTTGCTCAAGGAGAACTTTTGTTAGGTTTTTCATGCGTTTTTTTTTGAAAAATAATCGAACGGCAAATCATGTTATGTTATGACCTGCTATTGCTAACAGATATTGGGATATTCCCATGTAGAGATGGGTCCCGAAACACAAACCTTCCTAAACCCTTTAGGTTTGGACTATAGTATTAGCTAGTTTTGAATATAACATTTTTTGTCTAAATCCCAAACCCTAAATCCTAAATTAAAACTCAAACCCCAAACTGATGCCGAAATCCCAAACTGATAACAAAATTCCAAACTGATAACAAAATCCCAAACTGATAATGAAATCCCAAAATATAAAAAATTTTTATATATGAAACTTATATAAGGCCATACAAATTTAATTACTTGGTTTTCATAACATCAAATTTAAAAATAGACCCAGCCGGCCAGCTTTTTTTTTTTAAATTTCATATATAAAATTTTATAAAATTTATATAAAATTTTTTTTTAAAACCCACCCGGTTATTAAAACATATAAAAATTTTTTTTAGAAGTTTTCAAATTTTGACCCGGCCAGGTTATGAAAACCAATTAATTAATTTTATATGGCTTTAGTTAAAAGATATAAATAACTTTATTATTAAATATTTTTTTAGATTTTTGATTTGTCTTACAACTTGGGTGAAGAATCTACTTTTAAATATATTATTTTATTGTGATCAATTTTGTTTGATTACTCTTATAATACTGCTATAATATATAGACAAAATATTACTTATTATTCTATTTTCTTTACTAAGCTAGCTAAACCTTCTCTATCATATTCTTGCTATTTATATTATTTGCTTAATTTACTAAATCTATACTGCATACTTTTATATAACTATTCTGTATATAGTAGCAAGTCTTATAATCAGAAGTTCAAATAAGGTAGATATATTAAATGTATTGCAATCAATCTGAGTTGAGTGATTACTATTCAAGGGATCAATCAAAATGTCAATTTGGTTATATGTACAATAGTATTGAAGCTTTACCTTTATTGAATATTTTTTTAATGCAGTAATATGTATGATTGATTATCTTTAAATTTATTATTTTATATAAGTCCAAACCAAATTTAATTAAATATTAAGCATTTTACTCTTTTTTCTTTTTTTTTAAATACATTTTTTAATTAATTTCATTTAATGTATAGTATTTAATAATTTATTGATAATAACAAATAAAAAATTGTGAAATTATATTTCGTTCAGTTAATTTATAAATATTGAATACATAATTTATATAATATAATAGCAAGTGACCTATTATTTGACATTAAGAATTTTTAAGTGCTACTATTTACAAATTTGGATAAATACTTAAGTATTTTACTCATTTTTTTTAAAATAATAATTTATATTTTAATAATTCATTTAATATACAGTATAGTATTTAATAATTCAATGATAAAGATTAATAAAAAATTGTAATAATTTATAAATATTGAATGTATAATTTACATAACACAATAGTAAGTGACCTATTAACATATTAGGCTATATAAAATTAGTTTTTTGGTTCTTATAATATAAAATTTTAAAAATGATCCGGCAACCCGGCTTTTAATTTTATTTTCAAAAAATTTTATATGTAAAAAACATATAAAATTTTTTACCAAAATTTTAAAAATTTCACCTAGATAATAAATATAGTAAAAACTTTTTTTCAAAATTTTGTTGAATTTGACCTGGCCAGATTATAAGAAACAATTAATTAAGTTTGTATGGCCTTAAGAATTTCTAATGATAAGAAAGTACTACTATTTTACTATATGTTTATCAGTCAATAGCACCTTACATACTGTCAAGTGTATATAATATAACATAGTTATTTGTAATTCATATTTTCTAATTACCACTGTATCGATTATCTATATAGATTTAACTAATATTATCCAGACTAAATAATATGCTAAAATAATCTAACAAAATCAAGAATATACTTACGTACTATAGGAGCATGAAGTAATATTAGAAAAAAAAATATCTAGATAATACAGTATGTATTAAAGATTAAAAAAAAAATGTAAACTTATCTCATACTATTTAGATCATATAATGCATGTAAGATTGCTATATAATCTAACAATATTTAGCTTATAATTAACATAGTATAGTGCACTAAGTGTTGGAAAAAGTAAAGATTTAAAATCAAATCAGTTTAAATATAAACCTATTGCAAAAAGCACAAAAAGCACTTACTAAATTTTAAACTATCTTACTTATCACTTTTTTAGTAAAACTAGCTTGTATTTAAACTTAAATATTTATTTATTTAAATTTTGAAAGCTTTTTAATAGTATATTAAAGTTTACAAATCTAGTTAAAGTTAAATTTTAATAAAGATAAATTAAAAATATATACAAGTTCTTCATTATTATTATCTATTATAATACTATATTATTGGCTACAGTATATTAAATATAGTCAGGGATTTTTCAAAATTGTAGATCATTTTTAGAATAGTCTATAATCATGCTTCGAAATATGATTGGCATTTGATAATCTTTTTATAGAAAAATTCTAAGATATTTTATTGATCGAATATGTAATTAATTTGTAATAAAAGTCAAGGCTAGCTATTAAAATACCTATTTTCAAGTACGTACTTTTAGAATCCCTGGATCCCTGAGACTTAACAAACTAGTTTTTTCACAAATCAAAGTTTTAATTATATATATTTATATCTTGACTAACAATAAATTCTAAACCTGAAGCTAAAGATCTGCCTTGCATTTTCTCTTCTTTTGCTGCAAAGCACCCGAATAGTGACCTGCTAAAGCGTATAGAGAAATATAAGGAAGTGAAGTGGCGAAATGCATCTGCTTCTGCAGCAACAAACAAAATAACAGAATTGGCTAAGTATTTTCCTGAATTAACTTCGTTTCTTGTTTTTATGGATAGTTATTCTATATACGGAGAGCATTATAACTAGCTTGTTGCTAAAAATTTTTTTATTGATAAATTGAAGAAAGAAACAGGTCCAATTCTTTCAAGTAAACCTGATAAAAAAAAATTAAAGATTTCTAACGATGAAGAGCTACAAGTTTCTGAAAAAAATTTTGTTGATTTTGGCATTTAAGTTGATTTATTTGAAAGAACTTGTGCTAATTTTGGATCCCAAGTATCCTTTTTAGATCCAATATGTGAAATTTTTTAAAGAAGAATTAATGAGTTAGAAAAAATTAATAAGCAATTATTAAGTGAAAATAAGGCATTAAAAAAAAAGTTAAAGTTTACTAACCAACAAGATCATATTTTTTCTATAATAGAAATTGCCAAACAAAAATGAAGTAATTTATATCAAGACATAATAAATTTGATAAAAAATCAAGAGCAGTTTGGCTTAGATAGTCTTTTAGAGTATTCTTCTTCCAAATGGTTTGCTAAATGGAATCTGGTTGCTATTAAGTTTATAGAAACACTTGTGCATAATGAAAATGAGTATCAACTGGAGTGAGAAAAACTTTTTAAGTATGCAGTAGCCATTGATTCTATATATAGGTCATGGTACTTAAAATATGTATCTGCAATTAATTTGGCCGCTTCAGCAGTTAAGTATTCATTAGCAAGATCAAAAATGATTATTAATATTGATAATCATATTATTAGCTCTGGTGGTTATTTAAAGTTCACCAATTGGTTA